AAAAAAAAAATCCATGCCATTTAACCGATCCACGAGGGATGGGAGGCTTATTGTTAGATGGTTTGGATGGGTGTAAGTTCAGTGTTTTATTACTTGGTCGTGGGTGTGGTTGAGAAAGTCTAAGCACCATCTCACTTCCGTCTAATCCGAAACATACCAATGGGGATGGGAAAGATATTGCCACAAATACATTCTCTCTTGTTGTTTTTTGAGGATGCTCTTGTTTAGGGTCCTTTTGGGTTGTTTTTTTTTTTAAATATCTCGCACTAACTCAGAGCCCTTTGAGTTTTGTTGTCGCCTTATTTACTTTTAGAAGTTCATGAGTTTGTGAAATTTGTGACGATTTGTAGTACATGCAGACCCTTCCCATGGTCCTCAAGAGCTCTCGCGGCACGAGCGTCGAAGCTTGGCCATCGCGCGTGGCTAAACTTATCAATCATCTACCGGTTTTGGCCATTTGTCAGGAAGAGTTCGAACTAACATTATTTTCTTCTCATACATTTTTCTTTATTGCTTTTTGCAAAATACTACCGCTCTGGCTAAGAATATTGGCAAAACTTAAAGCCAGCAGGGAAACTTCTGAGACGACCGTCGGGGTTGTCGCAAGTCTGAGCGCCATGGCCTTTTGGTTCATATCCTTCGTAATAGGGTCCACGTCGGTATGAACTTACAACCTCACGAACTTACAACCATCCAGAAATCAGTCGCATGAATGAGTTTGTTGATACGACAGATTTCAAAAGTTTCTATCTTGTCCAATAGCCTCTGATGCCAACATTAATTCGAACTTCTCCTTAGCTTCGACGGTTGTTATTGCTTACATGACATAAGCCAATCTTTTTCTCGGTCATCTGAAGTACTAAAACGCTAAATTTCCCTGGGGACACTGTTTTTCAACAGAAATTAGTGGTCGATAGGGCATTTTACGCGTCACTTGTTTAGCCATAATCCACTGGCTGATCGAAAACCATCACACATCCCGTTCACGTTGTTATCGAGCATTGAGTGGAGTTAGCTGGAGGTCCGTGGTCAGACTCTGCTGCGAGATTAACCTCATGGTCGACTTCTATGAATCTTCCATTTCTCGTTATGCAACTTCTGAATCCATCGGTGGCCTAATGACGTTCTTCTGCAGTAGTAGACATCCTCCCTTCACCCTTCTAACTTACTACATCACAACCCTTGGGTCTGACAGTATCCGACATCTCTCACATTTCAAAGTGCTCTCTGAGATTTTGCCCCCAGCCTCGTTGAGTTTGCTGTTTGGACTTTTCTCATTTGGGAATCTAGTTTCCACCCACCGCAGCCCTCATATTCATATTTATATTTATCTTGTACATTTCCTTTTTTCTTTTTTCATTTTCCAAGCCCTTTCTGCCGACTTTGAAACTGATTCGGGTTGTATTGAAATCTGACCACAACCTCATACTACCGCTCCATCTTGATAATTTTTCCCTTACAAAGGTAACATACGTTTAACCCATTTACGACCGCGCGGCCCGCCGGCGGGCCCCACCATATCGTGCTCCTGTAGCATTTATATTATTTATCAAGTGTTCTTATAATTTTTTCATGTTTTTAAGTATCAACTGAGCTCACAGCCTTCTGGAGAATCTTAAGGCATTGTGGTCCAGGAATCATTCACTTCTAACTACAGTTATAAGAGAAATTAAAAGTTAAGGTAAGGACCATGTAAAAGACGCGGTCGCCAATGGATTAAGGACAGATCTAACCGAAACCAAAGTTCGATCACAACAATATTTTTTGAAGAAGACTTCTCTTGTACTGGCAAAGTAAAACCATAAAATGAAAGTATAAATAAATGCGCTTGCTCAGCAAAAAACGAGAAGAGAATTATTCTCAGAACAACGGCAGAAATACCAATCTAGGGATAGATAACAAGAAACTTTTTCAAAAGAAAACAAATACCAAATGAATCAGAGCAAGAAAAAAAAGCAAACAGTCCGTGGTGTTGTAAAAAAGAACAGGATCTTTACCTTGGCAGACTCCAATGGAGTTTCGCAACCGTTTTTTGTCTGATTGTTATTGCTCGCGAAACCAGAATGAATGTCGATCACTGCCAGAGATGCGGAAGGTGACTTCTCCTGAAACTTCGCTATCAGAATTTTATTTCAAATCACCGCGCGAGGGGTTGTTTGCCACAAGCTCGGCAGTTTCTTAGAGATATTCCACAATTAAAAATGTGAAATACGACGACACTGTATGCCCACAAGACTTGCAGTTTGACTCGGAGTAAACGGAAGACAGCGTGCATTTATAGCCGATAAGTTAGGCTAATGGGCGAGTTGTAATTGGCGGCAGAAGCAGACGGGCAATGGCGCCGGTGTTAACCCATTGCGTACCGCAATGTTTTTGCGCTAGCTACCGCATGTGCCCGGCGTTTTCTTCATGATCGATGCGGCGACGTGGTTCACAGCGTGCAGCACGCAGCCACACAGAGCGATCGGTTACGTGAATAGCAAAGTATGGGCTGTTCGAGTTTTATTCAAACTCTAGAGTGATTTTGAACGAAAACGCGGGCGCGCAGAGGCAAAGGGGCGTGTTGAACCATGTGCAGCACGCGGTACGCAAAGGGTTAATGAAGATCGATATATTAGGTTGATCGAAAAGTCTTGATAGGGTTTTGTGAAAAGAGCGAGATTTTCGCTTTTTAACCATTTTGACCTATATGTTCTATCATGCGATAGCTGTAGCACATTCTAAAACCGTAATGAGCATAAACAGGCATGCTTCCTTTTTTAGCTTGAATCACTAAACCATGTTCGGATGCCGACACTAGCCAAATCGGGCCTCCACCCCAGGAAGTTTTTCCTTTGCTACTTCTGGGATTCAAAAGGAATGCTGTACTACGCGCTGCTCGAGCGAGGCCATACCGTCACGGCTCCCTATTACGCTGGTCAATTGCCTAGAAACTTGCGGAAGCCTTTCGAGAAACTGGCTCAGACGAACATTTGTGCACCTTCTCTATAACAACGCTAGGGCTCCCCTAGGTGAAGAAACCCGTGCAAAATTGGAGGAGGTAGGGGGGTGCACGGCTACCCTATTCACCTCTCCTCCTCCTGATATTGTCCCCTTAGATTACCACTAGTTCAGCCCCCTCAGCCTTTTTTAGCAAAAAACAATTCGCCCACTATGATCACCTTGAACAAGCAAGCGGTCGGTGACTTCTTTGACTCCCAATCTTCCCAGTTCTGGGAAGAAGGAATCGCTAACCTGCCCGGTAGATGGGACAATGTTTATGACTAACGATGTTTATTATATTGTTGATAGCTTGCATTGTTTGTTGAGTTGTAAAATAAAACAGAAAGAACTCAATCGTATCAAATTTTTTGATCAATCTAATAGTAAAAGTCGATGAACCGCGCCGCATCTGGCATCTTCAAAGACTCCACTTTTCAAGTGCTCAAAGACATTAAACATATATCGCATGGATCATCAATAACGTGGCTTGGGTCCTTTAAGTAGGGCGAAGATAAATCCAAAATTTCGCACTGTAAAAGACGACAAAGCTGTAACTAGCTGGTATGAGAAAAAGTCAACTTGTATGATGACGCCAACACTATCGAACGATCAACACCAGCGCTGCCTAATCCGATCCCCTGCAGTGTTTCTGCATACATTTGCTCAAAGCCACTGCTTTACTGGCTGCTTTCATAGTCCGCCGATCGGCCGGCGTGCCGGCCGAGGTAGTGCAAAGGGGGGAGAGGGGGAGGAGACGGGACCGGTCGACACGGTCGCGTCGCGCCCAAACCATCGAAGGGTTGAAAACAAAGAAAAACAAGATCAAAACAATTTACATGTTGCCCTTCGAAGTGGCTTGGCGCGACGGGACCGCGTCGACCGGTCCCGTCTGCCCCCTCCCCCCTTAACACCAAAGCCCGGCACTTCTCCGATCGAATGTTGTCGCTAAGTTCGTTCCATTAGGAACCTCAAACCAATTTTCTTATGCACGTTGCAGCAAATCTGGAATCCAGAAAGCTAGAACAATGATCTTCGTTCATAGGGTCACAAATCAACAGTGCAAATTGACTGGTGAGAGTATGCGATTAGCCCATTGACGACCATGCAGTCCACATGTGGACTGCACGTTTTCGACCGTGTGGGACCGTACAGTCCACATGTGGACTGCAGTTGTATTTTTTTGTTTTATATTCATCTATATTTCCATTTTTTTACTATTTTTCTTTTCAAAACATTACATCAGGTCTAAATGAAACTACATACAGCGCGGTCCTAGAAAATCTTTTAATTTTACAATTGTAAAGGTGTTTTTTCGAAGGAGTACAATACCTTGGTGAACTATTCGTTCGTTGAACAACTTCAAAAAATGAGATATTTCTAAAAGACGGTCGTCATTAGCATTTTCGCTGTTATCGACTAAACCCAAAGCTCCCAACGCAACGCAAATAAAAGTTTCCCGAAGCGATTTCTGGTAATGATTCAACTCATAATTGAATGACCACTAAAACGAGTGCCGATTCCATAATAAAGATCAATAATCACTCAATGTGGGCATTCTTACCAAACCCATTTGAAGGAGCATTCCTAAAAACTTATAATTTTCTCTTATAAACTTCAAAAAATGGTTATGCTGGACCATGAAGTCCACATGTGGGCTGCAGTCGCGGGTGGACGAAAAGCGCGCCGCTCCCTCGCGGCGTTTTCCCGCAAAACGCCGTGGTCGTCAATGGTTTAAATGTCCTTTCGTATTTTCCTTGCATTCGCCTATCACTTAGAAAACAAGCGGATTCGAGTGCATGCTAGGGACTGCACAATGGTAGGAAAGTGGACAATATTGGTCTCATATCCCGGATTTCTCTACAAGCAGTGCGATACTCACGACAGCGTGTTTCACTTGGTAGGGAGTATTATATTACAGGATGCCCTAAACTTATAAGCGCCAAAATTCGGGAACTCCTCAGGTAGAACTAGTACGCTAATTTCACTTCATTCGCTATTAAATATTGCACAAGTAAGTTTCCAGCAATATGCACAGTTATCGAAATGAAATCTTAATAAGTTTTGGAGATGAAGGCTCATTCTGCTATCTGTAATCATTTGCATGCAAGAGGCGTAAGAATGCAGTAAAAATTTTCTGATTGCAACATTGACTCCACTGAAAGCTGTCAAACGACACATAGAAGCAGAACCAATCAAAGACTAACTTCGATAAAATGCTCCTGAACTTAAAATGAAGTCAAATTGTGTATCTTCAAGCGGCACCGTTGATAGTAGAATGGTCCTATGGAAAACACTTGCGAACCGAACAAGTAATTAAAATTGAAAAATCACCAGGTCGAGATCCGTTGTCCGTGACCGGCTTTTCGCAAAACCTTTGAAGGTTCCCTTAGCCTTATCCACCAGTGATTCACGTCGAACGTAATTAGATGGTACAAAACCAACGTTGTTGGAGTCGTTGATGACCTAGAATGTCAAGAATTACTAAAATCCAGTGACAAAGGACAATATCCACTGGGCTAACAATGCTAGCAGGCATACTTACAATACAAATCCCTGTTCCGTGTGTCACTTAATTTTTTATACTGAAGCTCGTTAACCGTTGTAATTACCTTTATTATTGCCTTTACTTACATATTATCGAACGCTGTTGTTTCATGCGAGTGCTATCGAATGCTATTCTAAACAGCTCTTTTGAAGAAAATTTTCATGCACGCATGCACGGAGGACAACTAGAAGCAGAGTTACCGTGGATTGTGTTTATTCACTGAAGGTTCTGCAGCTTCAATTATTTTACCGCGCTTTGAATGCAACATAGGACGCTTCTACGTTGCAGTGGCCTTCGACGTTGCCGGTTCTGCTACTGGCCTATTCCATTTACCTAATCATTCCTCTCCTCTTCCTCATGATAGTAAATTTGTTACATCCTGTTCTCTTCCTTCCTGCCTGTTCTGTGGTCACTTTTACCGCAAAGTACGATCCTGTAAGAAATCATTCTACAGGCACTCCACTTCAGATTTCCATCTGCTAACGTTAGCATGCAGTGTCGCGACCCTCGTGCAGTTTCTGTAAAGGAATTAATTTCCTTCTCGTTTTAAGAACTTCGAATTATATTTCTTTTTTTCATTTCATTATTCGAACACATGCGCGGACATGTTTACTTTGCTTCTACTTTGTGGCATATCCATTTGTTTCATGAGACAAACGCAACAAAGACGAAGGTGAAGGTGATGTTGATTTTTGGATAGGATTGGGTGTCTGCTCTTCCACTAACCTTCGAATCATGCATCTGAAAAAAAAAACCATGGTTTCACTGAGAGGGGGAAATCTGCTGTAAGCTCCGTAAGGATCTTGGAGAATGAGAATGCTTAGTGAATCCCGATGCGCCTGTTTCATTTTGAGTGTTCTACTGTTGAACTAAGCTAAGCTATGAATATCAAAGCTAAGCTAACCTCTACCAATTTTGAACGCTTTAGGTCCAAATTTAAATTTTTCGCACAAACACCGCCCATTGTGGGTGAATCCTGTTCTGCCACTCACCATGACTGTTCCCATCCTGCCGTCTGTACTCGTACTAATTTTGAACGCTTTAGGTTCCTGGGATTTCCGGTCAAACACACGCACTTACACTTACACACACACTTACACGCACACACACACACAGAGACAAACCAACAGACACACTTAGCGCGTTATATATAGTAGGAAGATTAGTGTAGAACCTCTGCGCTTACATGCTTATCACGAATTTTGTGTAAAATTTCATTCGACAATATTGGCCAACGATATCGTCGAGTGGTATGCCATCAAATGCATACTGCGACTGTTCGGCCAAATGATATGAATGCAAACAAATCATTATTTCATCTCCGCTGAAGTACATTTATTCCACAATGGTGGGGGAGGGGGGGGGGGGGGGGGGGGGGGGTAAACAAGAAAGTAAATGATTTAAAGATCCCTTCTTGATTTTTTGAAGGTCGCGGTTTATGTATGGATGCATAAACGGAGGTAGGTGGTTGTCACGTGCAGTTTTCTAGAGATGGGCGCTCTCGACAAACGGCTTATGACGCTATTAGTTGGGTTCTATTGATTCTCTCCATTCTTTTCGAGAGAGGGCGGTACACTATGTTGCTAAAACGGTTACGCTTCAGCTTTCTTCAAGCAAATTAATTTATCAAGCAAATTAACTTATCAGAAGTTATGGGACGCGCAGGGTATCGTGTGCAGGCCAACTGGTCCGTATAATAATCATGAGGATTCCCGAGGGCGGAGTGACAATACTTTCAGAAGATTTTGTTCACCAATATACTGGGAAACAAGCGAATGAGACCACTCATAGGACAATTTTACTTGATAGAGCATTTGATGATAATTTTCGCCTCTCTTTTTGAACCACAGCAGGGTCATGGTGCTATATGCTCATGACAACAAGTGTAAACCATAAGAGGAACTGCACAGGAATTTGCATACCCGCTGCAGTACTGCTGGTTCAAGAAGCACGAGAAAGCAGGAAACACGAAGCAAGTAGCACGAAAACAGAGTGTGATCTCAAACTCATTACACTGAGTCATTCTGCTCATTCTGCTTAACTCTTCTCACTAATTATCCCCTGGGCAACAGGGGAATAATTAGTGAGAAGAGTTAAGCAAAAAGTAGCAAGAATAGCGTCAATAGCAACGGCCAAGACTACTGAGTGCTTTCAAAGTCTATCAAATTGCCTTTAAAATGCAGCGTTGCCAAATACAGGTGGAAGGCGGTCGTTTGACGCGGCCCTTCGCAGCCACATTGCTATTGGGGCGCATGGGCGTCAACTACCACCCACACAATGCAACTTATGCATCGTTTATTCGTCGACAAATCGTCCAAATTATTTAGCCTCTTGATTCACGATCAGTTATGGCCTGGTTATAATTGTTTCGCATCTAGTTGCCAGCCGACTTTGATAAGGAGTGAAGACCCCGGGATCACAGAACCTTCCAAACAGCCTCATTAATCCAGTAGGAGGTGAGGGAATTGGAAAGATTACATGGATACCAAAAATAAGGTAACTGAATTACTTCATTCAGAGGAGTTACTATCGTGCACATCTAGAGATATATAATGAGATATACCTCTAAATTTTCCTGTTGGGAGCAAACAAGAATCTTTATAGTTAGGTGAAATCCATGGTAGCATTAATTACACTTGAGTAGTTTTCGGGATGGAGCATGCCTCAACTGCCTTCCTTCCCCAGTTTTGATTCCATGGCCTTTAGCTTATGAGTGGGACGTGAGTTGTGGTGGATTGAACCATTGCTCTATTTCTGGTCAGAGAATGATAGCCCCACAAGAATATGGGGTTAGGATGTTATCAAGAAATGCTAAGTACATATGGAGAAAAAGGAAACTCAAAACGTTCAGCAAGGAAATGTTCACCAGGAAGAGTATACTCGGAAACTCGAAGTCGTACCATGCAGTGTAGTTGCTGTATGTTAAGATTTTTCAATTTTAAAATGTGTGAACAAATATTTCTTCGATCTACGAAATTCCAGTTCTCATAAAAGGGGGAATGTGTGATAGTGCCAAGTGTATAAATCTGTAAGCCGAACCGTGATGATGTCTGCAATGAATGCGAACAAACTTGACATATTAACCCTTTGACGGCAATAGGACCCACCGGTGGGTGCCACTACGACTGCCGCATGAGTCATTGGCACACAATTTTGGGTGCCACCATACTTTCTTGTTTCTTACCAAATGCTAAACTCAGTAAGCCAGTGAAAGAATTTTCTCTTGGGACAGTGCCACTCACCGGGCAGGTGCCAGTGGCACGCGAAAAGAGGGGAGTGTGGTCCCATGGGACATCACGTTGAAATCAGCATCGTCGTCAAAGGGTTAACGTGGTTTTCGAAAAAACCTATTGCTATACCAGGCGGCTACGCACGCTCTTGCGTGCGCTAGGGGCTCTAGCCATAAGAAACGGAGCCACAGGAGCAGATTTCATTATAGACCTTTATCGGATTTATGAGTTTCCGCTCAAACCCCG